GATTCTTCATTGCAGAGGGCATTCAATAATCGTTGATGTTGGGACTTTTCATAGGCGGGTAACTGTTGATAGTGTTCCCAGTTCTGTAACTCTTCCATGGTGTAGAGTGTGGTAAGGGTCTCCGATGGTTTATAAGAACTCGATATTTCNCATTGCAGGGCTGAACAGAGAGATGCGGAGTTATAACCCGTGTATCCAGGTTTGCCATGTATTGCACTCCCCGAACTAAAACTGGGATTCCACTGAAACAAATCGGAGCCTCGGCTATTGGAACTTCCAGCATTTTACAGGAGTATTCATACACTATCTCGCCTAGACGGCTGGCAAATACCCTGGGTTCCCGCCTCAAAGGATGGAGATAGTCCTTATCATTATGGATATTAAGCCAGGTGGAGCAGCCTCCATTCTCCACTCTATTATTCATATCCACCAGCGCACGGGCATTTTGATGCTCCAGGTATTTCAGGGTTGGGATTAGATCTTGTTCACTTCTCACGTCCAGACTCACCACTTCAGGAAGCCCAGCAGCACTCTTATCGAAGGTAATGGAGACGGTTTCCAGGGCGGTATGGTGTAGGGTCAATTGAGGACAGCCAGGTATCAGTAGGACGTCTTTCTTTGTGACATTGAACAACATAGCTAACTCGTCAGAAATCAGTAGGTTATTCTCCTCAGTTCTCAGTTTAACAGGTCGGATCCTTTTAAAAGGACAGGTCTTAACTTGATCATCCAGTAAATACACCTTGGGCCCATCAACACACCAGGTTCTTGCACAGCCTGTAGGGAGTGAAACTTTGGAGTGTTTCGCAGCTACTCTTCCTCCTCTCGTCCTGAGATATACTTCATGGAGTAGAGAAAAACGGACTTGGGTCAGGATGAGGGACTGGTCCGCCACCGTTTCCTGATGTAAGGGTAATGACACCCCCTCACAATAGGTATTCGTAGGATGGACCGTTATGGATCCATCCTTGATGAATTGATACAACACGGTTTCTCCCGTAGCGATGGATATTCTCTTACCATCAGGCGTCAGATAGAACCCCTTCTTCGCTGCCTTGCACTGTTCCAAGGTCACGGGCTCTTCACTCTCGATTTCTGGTACGTCCATAAACTTCCAGTGTGAGTAAGCTCCACAATACCCCCGGAAACGGGATATTGTTGCAGAGCAAACCACACCGGAAAGTTCATGGACGTATTCCTCCCCCAAAATCCAAGCTGGTCTTGCTGGATCTAACTTCTCAGACCACTTCTTCTCAGGGATAAAGCAAACATCGGGTAGATGCAGTTTGTTTATCATCGTAGGGGTGTTGCAATCAAACGCCCGTATCTTGAAAGCCGACTCTCGCCAGTCTGAGTTACCCCCCACTGTGCATATCGAAGAGATAAACAACATCAGAGTAATCATGGTTCGCAGTATTCTTTGACTCCAGGATGACTGAAACCTTCGCGGTTTGCTGTATAACTGACTAACTGTATCAGTTGTATGATTTAAATCTCCCGCGCTCTGAGCTGTGTTCGGCACCGCAGCTGTATCGCTGTACTGGCCGGGGCCAGCGTTTCCTAGGCTCGCTAGGGTCCCGGCTTCGGCTCTAGTACCGGCCCGTCTATCCAACTCTGCACCCGCCCCTGGAGTTGTATGTACCGGTGGGTCCGCTTCCTCGTTGCTGATTGGTTCTCTCCCCGCGTCTCTGGTCCCAGCACGCCTGCCCACTTCGGCTACCCCGCCTGAAAGTGTATGTACCGGCAGCTCTCCTTTCTCTTTTCCTATTGGTTCACTCCCGTCCCTACAATCGCAGCTGGTCAATAAACAGTTCGCCGCCCTTTGACACTTCTTTGATTGGTCTTCGAGGTCCCAGCTGTCTTCGTACTCTTCATAACTCGTCGGTGCAATATCTCGTAGATTCCGCTTGATCCCCTCTCTTCTCCGCAATTTGCCGTTACCGGGTCCTTCCCCGCACTCCGACGTTCCCCTCTTTTCTTCGTAACTCTTTTCTGCACGCATATCTACTTCATTTTCTGGAACCTTTATCACATTTTCCCGGGCTAAGGTTGGCCGGGACGGTTCCTCTATACCTTCAAATCCATTGTTGGGCTGGTCCTCCGCCTCCCCATTATCTCCGCCTTGCATTTCCACCTCCCCGTCTAGATCTAGGGGAGGGGGGGTTCCACCCCTGTCCATTTCACAGCTGGATGTTATCTGGGTCTCGCGGTCAGTCTGTCTAATCACTTGTTGTTCTGTCTGGCCAGCTGTCTCCCTTCTGTCCCCTGGGTCTCGTTCTTGTCTCTCTGGTTTCTTAATCTCCTCTGGTATCGGTCTCTCCAGCCCTGAACTTGGAATTTCTGTAATCTCATCTCCCCCTACGCGACGAATGCTGGATGGGGGGGGGTCACTAGGCAAACCGTGTACATTGCTCTCTCCCCTAAACTCTTTCAGAATGTCTAGACTCACTATCCTCGGTTTTCCTTGCTCATACACGGCTATCACTTCTGCTAGCGCTGGGGCCAATAACCTNTATGACCTGAGTTTATCACAGCTGCCTGGAATGATTCTAGGGTCAAAGATCCATACCCACTGGCCTATGTTGAACTGGTTCATGATCGGCTTATAATATTGCGCGTTCCTCCGCACCATCTGCTGTTGTCTCTCTCTCATACCAGCATAGGCAGTTTGAAACCTTTCTTGTATAGTCTCTGTCCAGGCAGATACATCCTTCTTGGCATCAGGTTTGGGTATTAGGTAAACCCAATGGATGGGAACTATAGCTTCTTTCCCAAAGGTTGCAAAGAACGGTGTCTGGCCCGTACCACCATGTATTGCGGTATTGTACGCCGCTTTTACACCTACGTCCCATTCATTTTGCATCTCCCTGCCCATGGTTCGCAGGATACTCACTATTGTTCTATGCCATCGTTCCATGATATTAGATGAGGGGTTGTAGGGAGGGGTTCTAGTATGCAAAATCTTCAATTCACCAAATAGTTGAACCAATAACTTATTTACAAATTCTGCTCCATTGTCGGAGTGAATTTGGTTTGGCAATCCAAAAACACTGAAATGTTCATGTATCAATACTCTAGGCACAGCCTCCAGCCTCCTTGTTGCAAATAGGATATGCACTAGCAAATCTTGTAAGTCCATCCTGTACTGTCAGCAAATAACGATTCTTTCTCACGGTTTCTGACATCGAGACTAAGTCTATGAACACTTTCTCCCCTACATTGCCCACTGTGCTAGGCATGTGAGGCCCTCTCTTGACTTGAATACTCCTTTCCTTTGCTTGGCAGGTGTGTATGAACCAAGTTCAATAATGCGTAGATGAAGCAGGAACCGAGTTTAAACCAGGAAGATTATCTGAATTGTACTTAAAGAAGGAGTTGGAGAATATACTTCAGTCCCGCATACCATCTAGCGGGGTTCACATACACTTTATATTTGGCAATGTTTTTATCAATTGGAATAAAATATACAATAATAATAGTATCTTTAGTTCTGCTAGTTGGCTAGTTATGCATTTAGGTACCTTCCCACCTACCAGACTTTTGTCCGGTATATGGAGGTACACCGAGTATGACAATGCCAAATAGAGCAAATAAAATACTTTTTTTTAAAATTAATTTTCATATATTTTGTTATTAATTGATAAATATAAATCATCAGCCATTTTCAATCTATATATAAAGTGTGTGCAGGACCTTGTACGATGTAATTTGTAGAACCTATCTGCTGCAGTATAGAACGTGCCTAGTGCCTACAGAAACCACGCAGACTGACTCACGAGATACGCATACAACAGATTGGGGACCCTATTTGCAGCTGACTAGTTACAACATAGTACATTTACTATAGCACAACAGATATTGGAATATGAAAAAAGAAAACCGGAGCTCCTGTCAGAAACCAATATACAAAACTGGAGAAGACATAGCAAGACCTAAGGATGGATTTCAGATCATGAGTTGATGTAACCTGGGATTGAAAACCTTTAATTGAATAAAGGGATGTATCATAGATAAAAATGAACCATATCCCTGAACATTAACAAAGATCTTAAAAGAACAAAATCCAGGATCCAGCTGAGAAGAAGAAGAAGAAAGAAAAAAATGCCATGTATGAACCAAGTTCAATAATGCGTAGATGAAGCAGGAACCAAGTTTAAACCAGGAAGATTATCTGAATTGTACTTAAAGAAGGAGTTGGAGAATATACTTCAGTCTTTCTTACTGAGGTTCGCATACACTTTATATTTGGCAATGTTTTTATAAATTGGAATAAATTATACAATAATAATAGTATCTTTAGTTGTGCTAGTTGGCTAGTTATGCATTTAGGTACCTTCCAACCTACCAGACTTTTGTCCGGTATACACCGATCCACTAGCCTATGGATTTTCTCACAGGCAGACATCTAAAAGAATGTTCTCTGAAACTTATCTAATGTTCCTGCCACGCCTCTATGTCCCCCTGCCACGCCCTCATGACAAATCTTGAACACTTCCTCTAGTTTCACTGCTGGTACACAAACACATAAAGCATCATATGGCTTGGCTGGATCTGTGTGACAGTTATAACATAAGATTCCATTATGTAGCACAAACAGGGTAGGATTGAATATCTGCCTAACTGATATCACTTCCTTTATTCCTCCCCTCACTTCCTGCATCTTGGAGCCACTTAATCATTTTGTTTGTATTAATACCCAACTAACTAAAGTATTTAATAACTAAAACTATTCTGTGAGTAAATGTTAATGTAAGGTTTGTATCACAAATTGATCGTAATGCTTTTGGCAAGTTTGGTCAGTAGTATTACAAACAAAATTTAGGATATCATTAAACATTGCAAAAGATCAGATTGTGTGAAAATAGGGTTTAGATTTCAGCTTTATCACTCTTACTTTTAACACCTTAAAACTATAAAGTTTCAGATATCTAGACTTTTCTTATAATCCTAAACAAACAAAGTAACACAAAATATTAATGTATATTAATGTTTTAAGTTTGTCATTTATTTAATATGTACAGGAGCTACAGTTTATAATGGAAAACCCTACATCCACAACCCAACTGACAACAAGTAAGAAAATGGTAAATTCCAACTAGGACTGGGAAAAGTTCTGTTAACAAAAAAGAGGTTTTAGTAAATTAACAGAAGAGTCTGATAATGAATGGCATAAACTGTCATTTGTTTTTAAATTTTAAAGTAATGGATATAGCCCTTTTTGAAAAAAATTCCAGATTGTCAAAAAAATTAAATAAATGTTTTTAAAAAAACTGCAACTTTTTTTTGCTAAAAATTGCACAAAATTCAGAATAATTCTTTGTATTAATTTGTAAATGCCATTTCTGATTTTACCTTGCTTATTTGTTGAATTATAGAATTTTTTTTCATTTTCATGAATTTTATTGTTGTCTTTAAATTTTCCAGCTATTTTTGCATGAAATGATGGCTAGCACCATTAATTATTTCTAACTTAGTTGTGGTTAATACTATTGAGTTCGTTAACAAACAGCTTTTGAAAAACTGAAAATATCGTTAAAGAAACGAGCATTACCAAAAATAAATGGCTGCCAAAAAAAGATATGGTTTTAACAAACTGTTAACAAAACAGCTAGAACAAAGTCATAGCTTGCCCAGCCCTACTTCCAATATTCCTATGGTTATAGAAAGGAACTGATTACTCTGCACTAGTTCTAGTTTCTTATCTCTACATCTTTGTTCAAAAACTTTAAAGATAGTAAGAATTTCCTTATATGAATAGTTGTTAGATTTTTAAAAAAGCCTATACTTAACTTTTGAGTACTTGTGAACCAAGATGCCATGTTCAAGCATATTTTAGAAGTTTTGTTACAGATTGCAGTTTGAATTGCGTTTTATAGTTGCGGATAGAGGAGAGGGGGAAGGAGGGTGTTTTTTTCAAGAGACCCGCAATTTACAGAGTGATATATCATTGTCTGATTCACAAGGGTACTCTTCAAACTTCTATCTGGATAAAGATATTGATGTTTTTCTATCTTAACTTCAAATTTGTAAGCAGAGTTACCAGAATTGAAAATGATTAAATTTCAGCTGGAAAAATTTAGGATATTACATTTTTATTTTTTATCTGACAAAGACCTAAAGAGTGAATCTGAAACCCCACTCTAGAAATGGAGGGCCACTTAAAATTATGTTTACAGTCTCTTAATAAATAAATATTCAATTTAAAAATTGTTATATTTAGGTGCTACTATGGTAGTCTTGAACCTTTAGCTACCTGGGATATACCTGGGATGTTTTGTTTTATAATACATACAAAGAGAACACGTTCACAAATAAAATAGAAGATGGGCCCAAATGCCTAGTATCCGTAAATTTCTTTTCTGTGAAGGTCCTATCAATTGGATGTCAATGTATGAACTTCTTCTTCTGTAAATATAGTTTTGATAATGGAATAATTGTTGATTTTGACAGTTTTTACTTAAATCTTGATCCAGAGTAAATATATTTTAAATCAAATAAATTATAAAGGCAATTTATTGCACATATTACAAAGTGATTGCGATATTAAGATGCAGGACTGTAAACTTATCAAGTTTGAAAGTTTTCTTGTTGTATGTCACCACACAGTTAATAGGAAATTAAATGCTGTATTATTGTGCTTGTGCATTATGAATTCAGAAATTCACACATTGAATACTTGTACTAAACGTGCTGTCAAGGTGTCACCTTTCTTTAAATTCAGTAAAACTGAAATGATTGTGATCGGAGGATTTGTCCCAGAAACTTCCTTGATAGACTTAAAATAATCTTTGAATGCATAAACATACATATACCCTTTTAGATTATTTTTTAAAATTTTTATTTCGGATATTCTTAAGAATTGTTTGTGAGAAGGTTCAATGCAGCTTTGGTAAACTATTCATGTTATTGGTATACACTATTCCTGTCATTGGTATAAACCATTCCTGTTATTGGTATAAACAATACCTGTTATTAGTATATACTATTCATGTTATTAGTATATACTATTCCTGTTATTGGTATACATGTAATAAATCTAGGTCCCGAGATTACTCTACTCAAAGTCTAATTATAGTCTCACTGACTCTATCTCTAGCCAAAACTCAAGGCTCTCTATCTCTAGCCAAAACTCAAGGCTCTCAATCTCTAGCCAAAACTCAAGGCTCTAGGTACGTCTGTATAACAAAACGTTTTCATATAACACTAATTTATTTATACAGGAAAATAGAACTGACCGGAATGGCCGGTCAGGGTTAACACGAACATAGATAAAATAGATAAAAAACATAGTTAATAAAGATTGTATTGATCCTTGGTAGCACATTATATTACAAATGCCCCAAGGGAAAGTGATGAGATTTATAATCTGATGAAATCCTGACTATATCTCATCATACAGCATTCACAGCAAACAAAACCCTGGGCCTTAGATCTCTTCATCTGGATTAGGGTCAGCCCTGGGTCTAATCTTGAACTACCTTGGGTCTATTACAGCAACATTGGTGATATCAACGAGTTGAAGAGCA